GTAAACGTAACGTAACGTAACGTAACGTAACGTACGACGTACGACGTACGTACGTACGTACGTACGTACGTACGTACGTACGTAGTACGTAGTAGTAGAGAGAGAGAGAGAGAGAGAGAGAGAGAGAGAGAGAGAGAGGGTTTTGAGAACAAAATATTTTTAAGGTTTCAAAAGATGGAAGAAGAGGGTGACTTTCATTTAAATTACACTTTTCTATCAACAACAAAATCATCTAAACTTCTCGGAGATGACTGGAAAGACCTATAATTTAGGGGAGAATACCCATTTTCACTATGTTTATCAGAATGCACATTTTCCTAATGTTAATTGGAGTACCCATTTTTTAATCATTAATTAGAGATTACTCTCATCGAACTCTCTCTCTTTCTCTCTCTCTCTGTGAAAATATTATCTTCTTGGCTTATCCAAGCTATAGAGCTCGCTTTAGGGATCGACATGATGTGGTGTTGTTTTTACTAAAAATGAGAAAGTCATCTACATAAAGTAGGTGGGAAGGTGTCGTTTCAGCTCTAGAAGTCCAGGAAGGTTGGAAACTCCTAATGTCTATTTCCTTTTTGATTAGTTTTCTGTAACATTTTATGTCTATGAGAAGAAGGTGGTGATAAGGGATCTCCTCGCCTAAGCTCTTTCTTGTTAGCATAATCGAAATGGGTAAGATTAAGGAGGATGGAATAATTAGGTGTTGTGACACATATTTTGATCCAATCTATTAAATGTTGGAAATAAAAGGAATAACCGTTATTGTATTTAATGGACAGAACTGTCATTTATCTTTTATTCTATCCTTATTTATCTTCTGTTTCTAAATAAAGGCAATATTGTCTATAAGTTGTAATTAGGGTTATTAGTTAATGTTATAGGAGGGTTAGAGGTCACAAATGACCTCTAAGACACTCACTTTACCTCTCTATCTCTCTATTTCTCACATGTCTCTCTCTCCCTTCTTTTTCATCATCTTTATTTTCTTTTCTCTCTCTCTAGATCCTATCAAATTGTTTTTTTCTCTACTTTAATTTCAACTTGGTATTAGAGTTAGACGATTAGTGAGGATGGTACTGTAGCAGAGGTGGATCTTCAAAAAAGTGTGCAGCAACTATGTTTAGTGCTGATGTCATCCTTTGGGTTAGATGACAATCTCTAAGTTCTATTCCCAAAAGAAAAAAATTGCAAGGATATTTGAATTGGAGTAGCAAATAAGTGATTTTAAGCAGGGTGACTTGTCACCAGGAGACTCTTTTGCCCATCTACGTGGCCTTTGGGATGAATTAAGTCAGCATCAGCCCATACAGTGTTCTTCTTGTGCAAAGCAACTGGGAAAGAGATTGGAGCAAAAGAATGATTTTGATTTGATGGGAGTTAATAGAGAGTGTGAAACTATTAGGGCAAATGTTCTTTGTGGCGAGACTTTTCCATCGCTTGGTAGGGGGATATAATCACTCAAGGAGGTCCATTAATGGGCTGAGGGGCCGAAACGAGATGGTTGCATGTGTAATGGGCCACACAGTCGGAGCTCAATGTTGGAAACCCTGAAGGAGGATGACGGTTAGAACTTCTTAACGGGACTTGAGTATGGATTTGGGGTTGACCTAGTAGAGGTACCTCATGACTGACTTTGTGAGCCATTGATCATCCTTCTCAGAGTGGAGAATAGCCAGGTGGCTGGTCTATCTGTGCGTTGAGCAAAGGCCAAGAGGAGAAGCTTGTACCAAGGAAAAGCTTGTAAATCCTCAACAAACATTTCTAGTCTCCTCATGTTATGTCACTTAGTTATGTGCTTAGAGAGCATCCCTTGCATGGCTATTGGTTTCTCGTGCTATTTGTCCTTTAGACTCCAGCATCACAGCAATTCATTTTGCTATGTTGAGTTGATCTTTGATTCACCAATTATGGACTTCCACAACTTCAATGGCATCATAGGTGTGTCGCGGTCAATCGTGCTTGGTATATGTGCTTGAGTTTGCAAAAGAGCTCAAGGAACTTGATCCAAATACACACCATGTCGTTTGAATATCCCATGCTAACATCAATCCTTATGCAACTTTTATTTTTAATTTTGGTTTTAAGCGTTTCTTTGTCATGTTAAGCATTTCTTTGTCAAATCGAACTGTTTTTGGGGGCAATAATATCAACTATAATTTTAATAAGGACCTATTAGGTATTTTTGAAGAGAGAGTATAATTTTCTAAGGAAAGAAATTATCAATTGAGCTATGTGCTTGTCTAAGTGGTTTAAAGCTCAATTTGTAGTGATTTTGAGCTTGATTCAGTGTTTTGTAATGCTTGAATGATACTAATTATGTACTTGAGTCATAATTGTTTTGGGCTTTGAGGGAATGGTTTTGTACCTGAATGATAGTGGCTTGGCATAATTCAGAATGGTTTTGGACTTGAATGAGAGGTTTGGCATAATTCAGAATGTTTTTGGGCTCAATTACAAGTTTAGAACTGATTTTTGAGCTGGAATTGGATTGATATTCGGCTCGCCAGAACAAGTTTTGGACTCAATGAGAGTGTCTTTGAGCACGACGATTCTGATTGAACTCCATCAAAAAGTCGGAGCATTGGTTTTGCAAGAAAATTGTTTGATGAAATGCCTAACTGAGAATTTGTGAAAATCCATTTGATTTCCAAACAATGGTGCTTGGAAGAAATCCGTGAATTTGATTTCCAAACAGGGGAAAACAGAAATCGAAGTCAAGAATAATTAATTTTCAAAATCCATGGATTCCAATTTTCTTCCAACCCAAACAGGCCTGAAAGTATTTTAGAGTTACATATCTCTCATGGGCATAAAGAGAGGCATGCTCCACTCATATTACAAATAGAACTCTATACAAAAATAAATAAATATTATTTTATAAGGCATGCTTGGTTCGATGTGGTATAATCATAGTGGAGTTGGCCGATTTCACTCCTTCCCAGAATAATAGCCTAGCAGGAAAGAGCTCTCACTCCTTGGAAACTTCAAGAGTAATAGAAGTCTGTGGAGAAGAGATTGGGAACCTCTTCTAGAACCTGAAGGACTCTTTCTTGGATGGCCTTTAAATACGTGGATACCATTTGTTGGTGTTCTTTATGTGGCTGCGCTATTGGGTAAAGCTTGACCAGATTTTCTGGCTTGTTTCTCACTTCGCTCTTGTTGGGTGTAATGACCTCTCTCTGTATTCATTGTTTTTCTTCTCTTAAATCTGCTTTTGCGGATGCTAGTAGGTTTATGGTTCAGTATTGTCAATTTTAATTTAATTATTCAATAGTGTTCCACTCAAAAATTTTCCCACAAATGTGACATGTCAGTCCTAACATGTTCATGTGCTGCAACTAGAGTACTGTTTTATCCTGGTTAGGTATTGCTTTGATTTTCTATAGTGCAGAAGTAATTTACATGTGAGAAGGATTCGCATATTGCAGCACAAGATCTTTATGATAATTTTATTAGCACTATAATATGTTTGATTGGAGGGATTCTCCTTGAACATGTTTCGTGTAATAGGAACTCAATATAGGAAAGTAATATGCATCCATTGAGTCAGCGTGTAGTGGCATGACAGGATTTGTTTCCCTTGCCAGGATTTTCCGTGTTATTTCGTTTCTCAGACTGACTTGTGGAGTCATGGTTAAAAGTTTATTTTAATGCTCTAGTATTGGCGATGGAGTTCCTTTATTGCTTTTAGGGAGTTTCATGGTGTCTTCTTTTACTTATTGTCTTGGTAGCTTTGAACAATGCAGAAGCGTGTCCTTGTATCTAGGGAATTTTTGGAGGGCGTGGCAACACAGACTCTCAGTCAACGCCCAGCATGGCGGGTTGATGCTGCCAAGGTTGATACCCTTTCTGACTCTGCGCTTTTGATATCTGATCATTCGCTGTTTCAGCATGGTAAATATTTTCTCTCACTTTGATGCCAATTCTTTAAAATTCTTGTAAGTTGTTTCAATCATCTTCTGACCGGGTAGTTTTTAATAATTTTTTGGTCTTCTTCCAAATCCAGGACACTTTCCTTAGAATATTCTCTTCTTTTGAATTATGGAGCTAATATACAATGAAACTTGGCAAGACTTTGGACAGAAAGCTAACGCAGACAAGCCCACTGGGAATTATAATGTGGAGAAAGAACAGTGAAACTATAGACTAACACGAGAAAGATTATGAGACAGACCTTCATAAAGAAGGGCTCCATGGGCACTTGACTTGGCTACACTGGTGTAGTGCTCTCCGTATTGAAAAGTTAATTGTGACTGTATTTGGGATCCCTCATTTAGGTGAGGACCCAAATGATATGATTGAAATAAACCATTATCGTGCTAGACTCGACTACAAATGTACCAGCAAGGTTCACATTGACATGCATAAAACAGATAATATGCTTTGCATTATTCAACACAATATAACCCAACAAAAGCACCAAACTGAATATTTTAATAGGATTAGCTTAACAATATATGACTTAAAGAAACATCAAATTAAATTGTTCACATTGTTGATCCATGGTGCTTGTGGGATGATGGTGATTTGCCTGTCTTCACCTCTACGTACTGAATGCTCCCTTAAACAAATGCTTGATATTCTTACATGATCTTTCTATCACTCACACACATGGCATTCTTACTGGATCTTTCTATCATACACACACTCGTGGCATCTTTACAAGATCTTTCTATCACACACACACACAAGGCACATGCTTGTGTGATTGTTGTTCTCCCACCAAGGTGAGGGCCACGACATTGACATGCCCACCAAGAAGGTTCCTCCTTGTAACACACCTATGTGAGGGCCTAAAGACATGGTCAATGTGCTTGTAGCTTGCATTTTGCGACATAGGTTACGCAACAAGTTACACTTAGTAGATAATTGGTCCAAAACTGGCATTAGAAAGTATAGATCCCAGGCCGATTGTGCAACAACGACCTGGCTTCATTGATCTCAATTAAGGGAATGAAGGGAAGGGATCTTCAGCCCTAACTCTTGCCACTCAAGGTACTCGCAGTACATATGGATGGTCTTCCAACTTAAGGTACACAAGGATAAGAACTCTCTCTCTCTACACGAAGGAGGAAGAAAATTTCATTATGAAATTATCAACAAAAACTAGCTGATTGTGACAACCATGATTCATATATAAAAACCATTTTGCTGGAACTAGAAAATGACCAAAATAACCCTAGTAAAGTGTGAAAATAACTAAATTACCCCTCTGCCCTATTTCCCATACTTGCGTGCAACCTTCTTGCACCCAAGTTCCTATGCATGAAGCCAAATTCTTATGCATTGAAACTACACAATTGTGACTTTTGGACTCATGAAAACTTTCACACAATAAATTACTTGTCTCTAAACCAAATTCCCTGGACTTAACAAATCCCAAAGTGACCAACTAACAAAGAGAAAATGACAAACTCATCCCAAGACTGAAAACAAAGAGGCAATGACAAATACATCCTGGTGACAAAAAAAAAAGATCTTCTGAAAATGACAATACCATCCTGGTGACCAAAAAGAACTTGAAAATGACAAACACTTCCCGGGAGCCAAAAACTCCTAGATGCGATTTGCATCATCCTCCCCCTGTTAGAGAAGACTCGACTCCGTGGGGTCACTGTCACCGTTATACTCGAATAGGTCTTGCACGTTGAAGATCGGGGAGATATTCCATCCTCTTTGTACTTCATAGGCGTTGTCATTAAGTTTCCTTTTGATTTTACAAAGGCTAATCTTCTTTGCTTTGTACTTGCCATAGGTACCGATGGGAAATCGCTCTGGCTTGAGATACACCATAACAAGGTCTCCAACTTTGAACAACTGTAACCGTCGGTGTCGATTCGCGACATCTTGATACTTAGTATAACTTTTCTCCAGTTTCTTTCAAACCTTTTCATGTAACTCCTTCATGTAGTCAGCCATGTTTAAAGATCCTAGATCAACATGCTCACGTATAGGCAAGATGTTAGATCATGAAAATGCAAAGGTGATATGCCATTGACCACTTTAAATGGGGCTCTCCCATTTGACCGATTTGGAGAATTATTGTATGCAAACTCGGCTTGTGGTAATACCAAGTCGCATACTTTCAAATTCTCTCCCTCCAAGCTTTTTAACATATTACCATCACTCTTATTAACAACCTCAGTTTGGCCATCAGTTTGTGGGTGATATTCATCACTAACTGCAATTTAGTTCCCATTCTACCCTACAAAGTTCTCCAAAAGTGGCTCAGGAACCTATTATCTTGGTCCGATGTGATGGTCTTAGGAAGATCATGCAAGCGCACAATCTCTTTGAAGAAGAGATTGGCTACCATAGTTGCATTAGTGGTTCGAGTACAAGGTATGAAATCTGCCATTTTTTTTAAAATCTATCCACCACCACCATAATTGAATCATGGCCTCTTGCTGTCCTTGGCAAAACACTATGAAATTCATTGATAAATCAACCCATGGCCTATTGGAACCGGCAATGGAGTGTATAATCCTGTATTATGAGAATGCCCCTTTGCCTCTTGATATTTCATGCACCGGGCGACAAATTTATACACATCTCGCCTCATAGAAAACCAAAAGTACCTCTCCTCCATTAAAGTAAAGGTCTTATCTCTTCCAAAATGTCCACCAAGACCACCAGAATGCAAATCAGCAATAGGATACTCCCTCAAAGATGTATTAGGAATGCATAGACGAACACCATAGAACAAATAGCCATCAGACAAAAAAGGAGAAAAAAAAAAAAGGAAATCCCCCCCGCCCCAAAAAAAAAAATTAGGAAAAAAAAATAGAAAAAGAAAAGGGGGCTTATCGTTCATTTTCTATTTTATCTCTGCCGATTGCTGGGCTTTCTACTTTCCTAGTAATTGGGACACGGTCATAACTTCATCACCTTCTGCCCCAGTAGCAGTGGACTCCACAGTTGGTTATAAGTATTATCTCAGGTACACATCTCTCTAATCTTTATCCCCTAACCCCTTATTCTTCAACTCCTTTTTCTCCCATTAGACCCCATCTTCTTCTTCCCTACCTTATTCCTTTAGGCCCATAACCGTATTCCATTTAGTTAAAGACTTACTGTAATTCCTCTTCCACCTTATATCACTCTCCTTTCTCTGGCTCCTTCATGCCTTTTTCAATACCCAATGCTTCACACTACAAGTTCTCTGTTTTCCCTAATTCTTCACTTCCATCTGCTCTTCATTTAATCTCTATTAAGTCATCCTCTTTCTATCTTTCACCCTCTTGCTCTCCTCTTCAATCCTTTTGTCTTACAGTGGGTATTGAAAATTTTGGAAGGGTCACATTCTACTTCTCTCATTCTTCTCTTCCTTTTTCTCTATTCATCTACGCTCATCTTGAAGAAATGGGTATTGACTCTTCTCTTCTTTATTCTCTATTCATCTACTCTCATCTCGAAGAAATGGGTATTGACTCTTCTCTTCTTTATTCTCTATTCATCTACTCTCATCTCGAATAAATGGGTACTACCTTTCTTGGGAGGGGCATTCAGTTTAGCATGAATCGTTACTCTTGGATTCAGCCACCATCTTCTACTACATTACTGAGACATCAGGCTCATCACAACAACACAATGGCTCGAAAGATCTCTTCCGTTCTTCTCTTGCTGATGCCCAATATCTACTTCTTCTCGGAGCGGCTCCTCGATCATCAGAAATCAGAGATTGCATCTTCCACACTACTTAGTAGAGGCATGAAGCTCCCTTCTGTTCTTCTACACAGTTGCTGCGGTCCAAATCTTACTTCTGATAGTTTGAAGAGGCATTTCTTTCAACGTCCTGAAGCTTCCTACTGTTCTTCTTTTTGGTTGATGAGGTCCAATCCTACTTCAGTCAGCTCGTAGAGGCCTTCCTTTCATTGTAGTCAGCAACTACTATTCGAGGCTCTAGTTTTCAACCTTAAGCCACTTTGGTCCCAGTATTGACATTACATCATTTATTTTCTTGTTGGACTCTGCCCATATTTCTTTTTTGCTTTAGGCTTTTACTCTAAATTTTTTTCTTTCTGGGGGTGCAGCCCCTTTTTTCTTCTTTAGTTTTTCTCTTTTCTTCTCTTTTCCCCTTCTCTACTTATATCTCTTGTTATCTGAGCACCCAATCTGTGGGATTGCCTTCTTTAGGATTAGAAATATTGTAATTTTCCTATTTTAATGAAATTAACCTTTCCTTCAAAAAAAATAGCTGTCGGACAAAAGATATTGGTGATAAGAGTTACCATTGCTTGTTTGTCACCTCTTTATTATGTCCTTGAAGTATGGGTCATCTTGATAGGTTTCTCGCACTGCCTCTAAACCCACCAATTCAATTGCCAATGTCCTCACTCACCAATTAAGAGCATCAACCACTTTGTTTTACTCACCCGATTGTGCCTTATATTGAAGGTGTACTCTTGCAAATAAGCCACCACTTAACCTATCTTGCACTCAACTTCTTTTGGCTATTAATGTGCTTGAGTGCATCATGGTCAGTGTAGAAAACAAACTCCAGGTGAATCAAATAATGTCTCCAATGGCAACGAGCTTGAGTGACAACATAGAACTCAATGTCATAAGTTGAATATCTCCAATTCGCGTCATCCAGTTTCTCACTGAAAATGCAATGGATCTCTTCTCTTGACTTTAACAGCTCCAATTCCCACATGAGAGGCATCACACTCTACCTAGAATGCCTTATTGACGTCAGGCAAAGCAAGGACTGGTGCATGGGTCATCATCTCCTTAGTCTCCTTAAAAGCCCTTGCAGCTGTGGGAGTCCACTGATAGCCTTCAACCTTTGAACGCTCGGTAATTGGCGCCATGATGGTGCTAAAATTTTGAATGAATTGCCTATAGAATGTGGCAAGTCCACAGAAATGTCGCACTTTAGTCACAGTTTCAGG